CGCAACATCCCTTTTATTATTAGTAGTAAGAAGAATGTCGTCAACATGTAATACTAGGATTACAAATTTGCTTCCATTAAACGTTTATGTAGATACACCGATCAACAGTGATCTTTATAAAACTAAATGACAATTTCAAGTATCATTGTCTATAAGCATGTTTTAATCCATAGACCGACTTCTTCAATCTACATACCAGATTTTCCTTTCCTGTGGCCATGAAGCCTTGCGGCTAATCCATGTATACTTCCTCTTTTGATTTATCATTCAGAAAGGCAATTTTAACAACCATTTGGCGGAGCTCAAGAACAAAATGAGCCACCAAAACCAAAATATTTCTCAAGGAGAATTATTATCCTGTATGGCTTGGTTAAATGAGACTGGATAATTATCAATGCTCAAGTCACTTTCATGCTCAAGTGCATAAACAATATAGTCATCAGGAATGGCTGATCTTTTCTATCTAGTAGATCTCCTTAATGCCACTTCCTGCTGAGATTTCACTTGATCATCATCTTGAGTTTCAACCTCATCTTCATTTACAATAGCTTCCTCATGTGGAATTTGAGCATCTAGTTGTTGTTGTTCCAAAGTATTTCCATAAGGCTACACTGCACTGCAGCAATAGGAACAACAACAGGAAAAAGGATCACTTGATGAATTTGGAACCATCAATGACTCCTTAATCTCAACATTACGAGCTCCCACACTCCCACTGACTTCGCCATTTTAAATGAAGCAAGCATCACCAGACTCAACAATCCTCGTACTTATGATTAGGACAATAAACATGTACCCTTTAGACCTTTCTGGATATCCAATGAAATAACCACTAATGGTTTTGGATTTCAATTTATTTTCATGTGGATTATATATCATCACTCCAGCTTGACAGCCCTAAATGTGAAGATGCATCAACTAGGTTTCCTTCTTGTCCACAGTTCATAAGGTGTTTTAAAAAAACAACCTTACTAGGAACCCTATTGAGTAAGTATGTTGTTGTCTTTAATGCATATATCCACAATGAAACAAGCAATGTACAGTTATTGACCTTACTCCTAACCATATCCTTTAGAGTACGATTTCACCTTTCTTTCACACCATTTTGATGTGGTGTGCCTAGCATTGTGTATTATGCACAAAATGCCCTTAGATTCGAGGAATTTCTTTAAATGGGTCAGGAATTTGCCCAACTTTTGATGTTTTCCCATAATACTCATCACCTTTATATGATCTAATTGTCTTTACCTTTCTATTTAACTGCCTCTCAACTTCCAATATGAATGTTTCTAGGACATCCACAGACTAAGATCTTTCATGCAGTAAATAGATGTAACAGTACCTAGAATGATCATCAATAAAGGTAATAAAGTACTTCTCACCGCACCAAGACGGAACATCAAAAGGGCCACAGATATCTGTATGTATTAAATCAAGTAATCATGAGCTTCTTGTGGCTGAGTGTACTAATACATGTCTTACTTGCTTTACCTTTATGCAATCGACACATGCATCATTCCAGTCATTAAAATCCAATTGAGACAAAATTCCAACCTTAATAAGTCTCAATATCCTTTATTTGGATATATGACAAAGCCTTTTATGCCACAAGTCAGCTGAAGATTCTTTTAGTGCACTCCCTTTAACACAAACATCACATTAAACAATGAATTAACAAAGTCATCATTAAGATTGAAACAGTATAGTGTATCCAACAAAACACCAGAACCATAAAGGTTTTTGTTGATACGAACATTTGTCTCCAATCTTAAAGTAAAATCCCAATGTTTCCAACCTAGCTGTTGAAACAAGATTTCTAGAACAATTTGGAACATACAGACAATTCTCAAGATCAAGGCAAAAACCGGTATCCAGCTTAATTCTGTAAGTTCCAGTACCTTCAATTCTAGCTTTCATCATGTTTCCCATGAAAAAACACCTTTCATTTTCCTTATGAGGTTGAAACATCAAAAATTTTGCTTAACATGTGTTGTAGCACTAGTGTCTAACCACCAAGTATTAGAAGGAACCTTAACAAGATTGGATTCAAAGCATAGCGAAACTGAATGTATACTTTTCTTTCCATCCAAGCTTTCCTCTTCAGGCATTCAGCCTTCTTGTGCCCAAGTTTATTACAGAATAGCATTTCTGCACTTTCTGAACATCACCTTGCACCTTCATAGGATGCGTGACCTTCTTTTTTAAACTTGCTGCTATTACTATTGACATCAGAACTGTCACCATTATAGCGTGATACAATAGTGTTCACTGCAAACATTTATCTCACATATCAATTGCTTTGAGTAACAAAGCTTTATTCAGACTATAATTTATAGACCTTAAGTTTGCATTTAAATTCGCCTTTGGGTCAAATTTAAATACAATGTCAATTTACCGACATGCATCATTCACACATACTTGAATGAGACTATTCATCAAATTTCAATTTAATATGTAGGCCATCTTTGGACATGCACTACATATAAACAAAACAAGAATCATAATCTCCTAAATTGTCAATAATCACATGTCTGATCTACCTTTGGGCAACCGCCTGAACCATGTGTGAATGATCACAAATGTTTATCAATCCTTTAGTGTCATTCAATGATGCAAAATACCTGTGTAGGTAAACATTTGTAAACATAAATAATTATTTAGCTATTTCCTTGAGTGGGCCACTTTGGTGACTAACGCACTCGCCTTATGCTAATAATTTATTTATGTGAATAAACCTTAATTTATGTTGTAACATATAAACATAAATGATTATTTAGCTATTACCATGAGTGGGCCGCTTTGGCGACTAACACACTCGCCTTATGCTAATAACTCATTTATGTAAGTAAACCTTAATTTATATATATGCTGTAAACATAAACATAAATGATTATTAGCTATTACCTTGAGTGGGCCGCTTTGGCGACTAACGCACTCGCTTTATGCTAATAATTCATTTATAAACATATATATAAACTAATAGTGGATATAACCTCCAACCATAATTGATCTCAAATGAGCCTATAATTTAAAGCAAGTCCTTAATGCCTTAAATAAACCAAACAGCTCAAATATAAACCCACATTAAATGAGCCTAGAATTTAAAGCAAATCCATAATACTTTAAATAACCCAAATAGACTCAAATATAAACCCAAATTAAATGAGCCTAAAATTTAAAGTGAGTCCATAATACTTTAAATAAATCCAAATAGGCTCAATTTAATTGTCCAAACAAAATAAACCTTAATTTATATGTCGTTCTCTTATAACATATAATTCATGATTTGATAAAGACAAACCATATAACATATACCGTACGAACACAGTACAACTAACATATATATGTTTCTTGATTCCATATGATTCAATTCCAAAAACATATACATTACAGTATATGCATACATCTGATGCTTGATTCCAAGAAAACAGTATGCACATTCATAAACAGAAACATGCAAATCAAATCATGCAAATCAATCTTACATATATACACATATATAAGCAGTATAGTGCACATCCGTTCTCTTATTTGCATATGCTGTTCATATAATAAAGGAACATATACAACATAACATATCTAACATATGTGTTTCTGGATTCCAGTGATAACACAAGTTAATTAAACATGAATTTCGACAATTCGCACAGTACGTACATAGAAACAGTACGAACACCCTACATTAACACATATGTTGATCTTGAACGCCATACGTATTGATTTCATATCAGTATAATGGGTCCATCATCAACGAAGACACACTGCTGGAAAACAGCACTTTTCCGACCACTTTTCCGACCACTTCAAAAATGGTCATAAAAGTTGATTTTTTTGCCCATTTTCGTCAAATGCTAGAGTGGTCGGAAATTTCCGACCACTTCTCACTTGTGGACGGAAACTTCCGACACACAAAAAAGTGGTCGGTAAGTTATTACAAATTTTTCAACCCATGTCCGGAAGGATTACGACCACCTTTGTGGTCGGAAGTTTCCGACAACATATTCGAAATGGTCGGATTTCCGACCACTTTCCAATAGTGGTCGGAACATCGCTGGGCTATTATTTTAAAAGTTGACTTTTTCCGACCACTTATTCGTGGTCGGAAATTCTTTTATACTTATCCCTGCGCAGCAGACTTTCTGCCCAGTTTCCACACTTCTCTTTTTTTTTTTTCTTACCTCTTTCCACATATTTCTTCATGTTTGGTCGATGTTTTTTGCTAAAGCACTCACAATAGTGTAGAAATCATGTAAGGTATGTACATATATACTTAGAACTTCCATTTATATCTTTTTTTTTTTTTTATAGATCTAGTAGCTAGTTTGAACCTTTATGTATTATTTTAATTTTTTTTTTTGCAGGAGGTTTTTCCACTATTGTGTTGAAATCAAGCTAAGGTATGTGTATATATTTTTAAAATTTCTATTTACGTCAATTTGTTTTGTAGATCTAGCTTTAATTTTTTGTATATATTTTTGTGAATATATTTTAAATTTATTTATTTATGTAGTGTGCATATATATACATGTGTGTGGGTAAAATTTGTTTATTTATTTATGTTTGTGTTTAGAATTATTTGTATATTTATGATTTTTAATATTGAATTTTAATTTATATGTTGTGTATTTTTTATTAGTATGTTCATAATATAATAATTTAAATTATTTATATATGTTGTATTTGTATTGTATATACTTTTGCAGTTGTTTTACATGACTAATATACCTGAACATCGAAAATGGATGTATAACCGATTGTTACCAGGAAGAAGGGGGTACACTAATGAGTTTTTAGCCGGTGTTGAGGAATTTATAAATTATGCAAGCAGACTTCATTGTTACGAGGTTTCAATGCTGATTAGGTGTCCATGTAGTAAGTGTAAGAATAGAGTACACTTGCCTACAGATGATGTTCGTGTTCATTTGTATAAGAAGGATTTTGAACCGAATTATTGGGTTTGGACATGTCACGATGAGCTTCCCCCCTCAATACAACCGAATATGAATGCGGGCTCTAGTGAAAACAATCAGTATGAACAAATGATTTTTGATGCATCTGGTCCATCATTTTTCCCACTAAATGCCGAGAATTACCAAGATGAAGAGCCACATAGTAGTGCACAAAACTTCTATGATTTGTTAAATGCTGCGAGGCAACCTTTATCAATGAATGTTAGTGAAGAAACAGAGTTGGCATATACATTAAGGATGATGAATATCAAGACAACTTTTAATATACCGCAGTTAGCAATGGATCAGATATTTGACTATATTAACCATTTGATGGGTCCCGATAATCGAGTACCTAACAGGTATTATGATGCAAAAAAATTACTTACAAAGCTTGGTCTTGGACATGAGAAGATTGATTGTTGTGTAAATAGTTGTATGTTGTACTATAAGTCTGAAATAAATGACAAGCACTGTAAGTTTTGTGGTGAGCCAAGATTTAAACCACGCCCACCTAGATGTACTTGTGCAAAAGAGGTGCCACGCAAAAGAATGCATTACCTTCCTCTCATCCCTAGATTGCAACGATTGTATGCATCACATAGCTCTGCTTCACACATGCGGTGGCATTATGAAAATCGCCGCGAACCTGGTATTATGTGTCATCCTTCAGATGGTGAAGCATGGAAGCACTTTGATAGAAGGTTTCCTGATTTCGCAGCAGATCCTAGAAACGTGAGATTGGGCTTATGTTCTGATGGATTTTCTCCTTTTGGTTTCAATGCGAAGCCATACTCTTGTTGGCCTGTTATGGTTGTTCCGTATAATCTCCCTCCTTCAATGTGTATGACTACACCATACACATTCTTAACATGTATTATTCCTGGAGAAAAGAACCCAAAAACCAATATTGATGTCTATTTGCAGCCTTTAATTGATGAACTTCAGTTGTTATGGGAAACAGGTGTCTTAACTTATGATTCATCACTGAAACAAAATTTTATGATGCGAGCTGCGTTAATGTGGACCATCAATGACTTTCCTGCATACGGTATGTTATCTGGATGGCAGACAGCCGGGAAACTAGCATGTCCTTATTGTCTTCAGTATTCTAAATCATTTTACTTGAAGAATGGTCATAAAACATGTTGGTTTGATTGTCACCGTCAATTCCTTCCAATGAATCACTCTTGGAGGAAGAATCGAGATGCCTTCATCAAACGACGGGTAGAGAAATCAATACCTCCACCAATTATGACAGGGGATGAATTGTTTCATTGTTTGGAAAATATCCCAAGGATTATTCACTACTACAGAAAACACTTATAACGTCGTCAATTTAACGTCGGTTTTTTAAAAAACCGACGTTAAAAATTTAAAATAATTTTTAATATTTTTTAAAATACATATAACGTCGGTTTGGTGAGACAACCGATGTTATATGTATTTAAAATAAAAAAAAATTAAATAAATATACTATACGACGTCGGCTAATTAATGAGCCGACGTCGTATAGTATACGGTTTTTATTTTTTTTATTTTTATTAAGGTTTTGGCGTCGGTTTTAGAGATGACCGACGCCGTAAACTTTAATTTAAAAAAATAATAATAAATTATTACGTATACGACGTCGGGTATTTTATAGCGGACGTCGTATTTTTTACTCAGCCCTAGAAATACCACTTATTCGAAAAAAAAATATCTTTCTTCTTCAACACACCACACGGCCGCCCCACCCCACCGCACGCTACACCGCCGCCTAACGTCGTCGCCACTGCTCCAGCCCCTCCTTCTCGTCGCCACCGTCGCCGCCCACTTCAAAGTCGTCGCCGCCAACCGCCGCAGCAGCCCCATCGTCTCCAGCCGCCTCAACAGCCAGCCGTCGCGTCGCGTCGCTGCAAAAGCTTCAACGGACATCGCCTCGCCGCACCTGGTCGCCGGACGCTACGGTACCCAGGTATGTTCTCAAATTATTCAACTTGCTTATTATTGCCAGCATTATATTCTTGCCAGCTTCAAAATTATATGCCCTTTTAGGTTTTTGATATGCTTGTAGGTGTACATATTTAAATACATTTATAGTATTTTGCCAATAACAAGTACTCCTGGAGTATAGTGCTGTGTATTTCACAACACAGATATTTACAATTAACATAACAAGTTGCTATAATTTCACAAGTTTACAGATGTTCAATTAATACACTGTATAAATTTGGCTATGATACTCAAAAATAGATAGAGAAACAGAAACAACCACCTCATTATTATTCTTGAATGCAATACAGAGTTGATTCTATCTCATCATGGACTTTCTCCCTAAATCCAAACTTTTGTTGTTAAAATTTATAAAACACAATGCATCCTTGCTCATCACAGAAAAACTGTTGCTTCTTTCTCTTCTATTTTTTTTTCTTTCTAAATATTTATATTCCTAAAATTCTCTGGGATTGAATGTAGCAGTCTATTCCTTGAACAAATATGCAAAATTATATGACTTGCTACATTTTGTTTTTATTATTATACATTGAGTACTCCTTCTCTACACAGTTGGATTGTTGATTTGTGGTGTCAATCTGGTTGGAGATTCTGCTAGAAGCATCTGGTCTGTCATTTTAGGCTTTAAAACTTACTTTGACAAATTTCTTGAATTTTCATCTCATGAGTATACTTCTGTGTTTTCTTGTTCAGTTTGTGTCCTTGTTGAATCCAGCAATCAGTGTTACATCGAGATATTACGTGATGGCTATGAGTCCTTTGCTATGTACTGCTTTGGAAGATATCTTATTGCCTGTTTAGGTACATACATTACATTTGGTTCTTAATTCTTAATTTGATTTTACATTTTACCATTCACTCAATTTTAGGTTTAGCAGAGTAGGTAACACATGCATGTTTCAATGTGGACTATTGATGGATGACATGTACATATTAAAATTTTACAAATGCTCCTACACTTGGAAGTTGGAAACTATACAACAAAAGCCTCCATGGTCTACCATGCCTCTCTACCTTCCCTGGCTACTTATGTTCACAATTTCCTGAAATAATATCATTATTAGTTCTCGAATCTCGATACTATATATCTATTTCCTTTGTAGGTGGGGAAGATAGAGCTATAAGATTCATGCAGAGGCAAGGGCGTGAAGGTTCAAAGGCACCCCTACTAGATCATGGCCATGAGAAGGGAATTATAAAGCATCCATTTCCAATGAATTATCTTTTCAAACCATGGCCTTTAATGTCTATTGTGAAGGAGACTTCAAGTGGAATTGTGGGTAAGAAAAGCTACTTGTTATGTATATATACTGCTTAAGGTTCCAAAAATTGCAGCCTATAGAAGGTAGATTTTTTAACGGCTGACTGAACACTGTGTGTATCTGCCTTGGCTCTCTTTGTTTGGAGTTTTGCTGGGGGGAAGAGGCTTTGGATCAGCAATGGAAGCTCTCTTTAATTACCTTGGATCTAAATATGGAAACACATTTGCATTAGGTCTAGCAATTTCATAGTTTTCTTAATTGTTGACTATTTCTGATTTCTAATTTATACAGAATATCTTGACTTGATTTCCCCTCATTCTATATATACTTTTTCAGAGATTGATACTAATTTGAGTTTTCATTTCATTCTTTTACACTGAAGTGCAGCTTGAGTTTTTGCCTTCATATCTGGTCCTCTTGATTTTGGAGCTGACCAACTAGACACATGATGGTATGGTGAACAATATGCTAGCAAAGGAGAGGATGCAGATCGCGCTTTACTTCCTGAGCAGACACCATTTTATGAAGATCTGGTTATTGCCCTATTTTAGTAGCTTTCTATTATGTCCTGATGTCATTATTAGCATGGTTGATCACCTTAATGTCTTTACTGTGTGTCAAGTTTCACATCGATATCCTCCTAAACCTTCATCTGTTGTGGACTCAAAGAGAAAATGCATATTTCTGCTTGTGTGTTCTCAATGGAAAATGCCAATCTGAAGGAGAAGCAGCCTTGCAACAATCCTTGACCTCCAAGGTATCTTGAGGAAAAGAACTTTATATAATGTGATATATTGGCAGGCTCTCAATATGATTTCACTACTTGTGCCATGAGTCTTGTTCCAATTTGCATCTGCCCCTTTGTCTTTTTTTTTTAGAAGGTTTGAGTATTGACTAGTAAATTTAAGTCTTTGCCTTTTCCAAGTTACATTGCATATATGGATCAACATAGATTCAATTGTCTAAGTAAATATATATATTAATTAATTCTTATATGGTTGCTTATAGATATGGACTCCCAGCTGATAGATTATGGATTAGTGTTTATGAAGACGATGATGAAACTTTTGCAATATGGCACAATGTGGTAAGGAACTTTACAGTGATCCCTAAAGATCAATATGTTCTCAAGTATTAATTACATTTTAAATACAATTATATAGTTATCAGGTACCAGTGGACCACAAGCCACTTGGTACAATTATATAGTTATAGTATATATTATATTCACTTAATACTAATAAATTATTATTTTTGTAGTGGACATTGAATGTTGATGGCGGTTTGTCCTTCATTATATGAAATATTTTAGTTTGATTCACTTGGTCACCCGCCACGTGATGACATTAAAGAAATAATGGAAAGGTATGCAAATTTATAAATAATTAATAGTTATTATTGATATAGTGATGTCAAGTACTTATACATCTTTTATGTTTTATATTAATAGATGTATCCATGCAGCAAGCCTGTTGATGAAGTTAGAGATGTATGATGTAAGTATTTTATTGAAATTATTATTCTTATTATTATCAATTGTAGAATTATCATAAATTTAACTTGTTTAGTTGATGGTATGAGTTGCTTTTAAATTAATTGTAAGATTTATTAGTTTTGATTAATTGTGAAATTTTGAATATTAAATTGCTGGACAGGTTAAAGAACATTGTTGTGAATTGTAAAAGTTGTATTAATTGGGTGGAAAATTGTTAAAAAAAAAATTAAAAAAATAAACGACGTCAGTTATTTATAAATAACTGACGTCGTTTTTTTTTTAATTTTTAAAGATAACATAAGACGTCGGTTTTTTCATAAAAATCGACGTCTTATGTCGAATTTATTCTGTTTTATTAAATATATGACGTCGGTTTTATTAAAAAACCGACGTCGTTTCTTAATTAAAAATAATTTTAAAACATTTACGACGTCGGTTATTTCTTAATAACCGACGTCGTAAGTTAATATTAATAATTTAAAAATTATACGACGTCGGTTTTTTAACCGACGTCGTATCTCATTATTTACGACGTCTCCTACCTAGACGTCGGTCGAAAACCGACGTTAAATGGGGTCAAAAAGCCGACGTTAAAGCCCTTTTTTGTAGTAGTGATTGATGGTCCAATTGATCGCATTGATGGATTTGGACAGTCACACAATTGGAAAAAAAGGAGCATATTTTGGGATTTACCTTATTGGAAGGATAACTTGCTACGTCATAACCTTGATGTGATGCATATAGAGAAAAATGTGTTTGACAACATCTTTCACACAGTTATGGATGTCAAAGGCACAGCAAAAAATAAAGACACACCTAGTGCACGTCTTGATATGAAGGATGTATGTAATAGGCCACAACTTGAGTTGGTGGAAAATAATGGACGTTTTCTTATGCCCAAGGCGAGCTACAATTTGCACCGTACTAATCAATTGACTGTTTATGAGTGGTTAAAGACTTTGAAGTTACCAGATGGGTTTTTTTCTAATTTGGCTACATGTGTTGATTCTACATCTTCTAAATTAATTGGGATGAAAAGTCACGACTGCCATATTTTTATGCAGTTTCTTTTACCTGTAGCCTTCAAGTTTTTACCAAGTTGTTGCTGGAAGCCTTTAACTGAGTTAAGTGCATTTTTTCAAAATCTTTGCTCTACATCCCTACGTGTAGACAAAATATGTGAAATGGAAAAATCGATTGTTTTAACGTTGTGTCAGTTGGAACGATTTTTCCCCCAGCACTATTTGATTGCATGGAACACTTGCCTGCCCATCTTCCTTATGAAGCACATTTAGGTGGCCCAGTACAATATCGTTGGATGTATCCATTTGAAAGATTTCTCAACCACTTGAAGTCCAAAATGAAAAATAAGAGATATGTTGAAGGTTCAATTGCTGATGCAGGGTAAATTAAAAACAGTGAAATTCTTTTTATAAATAATTTTTGACATTTGGTTTCCGACCACTGGTGGTCGGAAATCACAACCCATAAATGTAAGGGATAGATATTTCCGACCAAATGGTGGTCGGAAAATTGCAATTCCTTATAGTCAACGGATTGTGATTTCCAACCATTTG